AAGCCTCACAATCTAATGAGTGTAAGAGTCAGTTAACTCAGTCCTCTGGCTGAATGTGGCCCACAGGCTGATGTCCTTTGAAAAAGGACAAGTGTGTATTACAGAGAAAATACATATAGAAGAAATACCTTGCCTAGTAATGAAAAGTTAAATTATATTTACAGACTCCCTATACATGAAAGTCTATGCCCTTAAAAAAAGAAAATTTGTAAAAATAATTTGAGTTTTAACATGACTGATTATGTATAAAAAAACCTAGTTGTGTAAATATTTTTAAAACGTTGTTCTAGTGAGTTAATACAAGTGTTCTATAGTTAATACTAGATAATAAAATTTAAAATTATTTTCTTACATACTTTTTTCATTATTATTTCTAAAACTCAGACTATAAATTAAATTTATTAGAGTCACTTTTGAACCCTTTAGATTCTAGTCAGTCAAGTTTACCTGTTCTCTGTAGCTCTTTTTTTCTTCTTCATTTGATGGCCGAACTGACCAATCTGTGGGACTATATAGAAATAGAGAATTCTTCTTAAAACAAAGCAATTTCTTATGTTAATTTCAACATTTTTAAAATAAAAATTCTCTATCCAATGATCTTCCTCAATTTTTCCTATTCCCCTATTCATTACATTATTTAGTTTACTTCCACTGTCCAAAGAATAGCACTGATATAAAACAATCCTTTGACCAGTAAGTTCATAAAGTAGCACAATTCTACTTGTGTTTTTGACCAGTAATTGGAGGATCATCTGTCCACTAGATGGCTATTTTAGAAAACTATATATTTATCATGCTATCTGTACTACTACATGTTGTTACTTTGATAAATCTACCCTACTATACAACTGTCATACCATTATCTATGCAGTTCACAAAACCAACTATTTTCTCTGATGCTACAAAAATAAGCTTCATAAGTTGGAAATTGTTATACATAACAATGCATACATGAGTCACTTCAAGAGTAAAGAGCTGTCACAGTACAAATTATAAAATTATGTAGAAACAAAACTGAAAATTCTTCATATCAGGTAATGCTTTATACAAGATATACTGGCTTACGTGAACCTCTATGTCTGACAGTCTGGATGTGTTTTTTCTTTTTGTACCTACTCACAAGTTTTAAATAGAATACTAAACAATGGTGTAAATAAATACTTTTCAAACACAAAGATGAATTTCATTTTGTAAAGAAATCAAGATATTGATAATTAAACTAAAAATAGTTAAAAATCTGATATTTCAAGAAATTAAATGAAAACTGTCAATTATTTGTAAAATAATTGTATAAATTCTTACATTACACCACTTGAGGGTACGTGTTAAGAAAGAAACAACTGTGTAAAGGATAATGTTATCTCTCTCTTATTATTAAATCCCTAATGACCTCATTAGATGCTAATTGCATATCCTGCTTTATGGAAGATAATAATTGACTCATTTAACTGATTACGTCTTTAAATTCAAAGCCAAAAGGCTATAAAAACAATAGAAATGTGCCCTATTTCAGCCTTTTTCTCTTTTCTTTCTTGGGCAACAATCTTAAAACAAACTATCCATGTAGATCATTAAACAGTTTTCAGTTAACATACATAAAATTACAGTAAGTGAGCAGCCAACTCTGGTTGATGGATGCTAACACATACATAATCACCTTTATACTAAGATGCATGTTATGGGAGATATTGACAGTTGAGGTTTCTTTATACAACAACATTGGTGATGGTTGAAACAACAGTCAAAATATTATGTGGAAATAAATTTTCTACCCTATCTACATCTGAGTTTGTATTACTGACAAGCAACAGCCACAATAAGTTGTGATACGCACACTCTTGGAGGAGGAGGAGAACCCTGTGCCGACTCCAATGCTTCTGTAGACACATCACCTAGGTTTTCTTGCCACTGCTGACACAAAGCACACAACTGTTTGTCAGAGTCTCGTCCTGCTCCAATCCACTGCCACTGCTGCTGTTTTTCTTTGTAGTCCAAGTAAGGAACAAAGTTTTCTGGCAGAATAGCTGGTAAATAAACCAATATTTGTAGATATATTTAGACTACATTTATACACTGTTTCTGAGAACATCAGATATAAAGTTTGTTTATTAATCCACATACTTTTGATGGAAAATCCTGAGAAGTAAATAATATATAGTAATAACAAAAATGAAACTTAATGGTGTAGAATGTGCTTTACAGTGGGAAATAATGTACGTCTGTGACACAATGAAAAGTAATAATACATCACACTCAAATGCAAATATTAGCAGAATATTTAGAATTTTCAGAAAAAATCAGTCTAACAGGCACACTAGTTTCATAACCTTAATGAAAGATACATATACAGGTTTATGTTGTAATGTACTATTACATATCGTCACTACAGTGTACATACAAAACTCAACTGTACAGGTTTACGTTGTAAGGTACTATTACATATCGTCACTACAGTGTACATACAAAACTCAACTGTACAGGTTTATGTTGTAATGTACTATTACATATCGTCACTACAGTGTACATACAAAACTCAACTGTACAGGTTTACGTTGTAAGGTACTATTACATATCGTCACTACAGTGTACATACAAAACTCAACTGTACAGGTTTACGTTGTAATGTACTATTACATATCGCCACTACAGTGTACATACAAAACTCAACTGTACAG